GGTTGAGATTGAGATTTACTGTTCGCTGTCAGGGCAGGAAGAGCAAGTACAATTGAAATCACTGCCCACGCTCACTAAAGTGAAGGGCAAACCCAAAATGAAAGCAGTCAAGAAAACAGCAAAGAAATCCACTAGAGATAGTAGGAACTGCCGATGCTGGAGTCTGAGGTAACAATGTGTTGTGCTGGAGAAACACAGACAGGCAGCATCAGAGGAGCAGGAAAGCTGACGTTTCGGGTCTGGACCATTCTTCAGAAATGGGGGAGGGGAAGGGGTCTCTGAAATAAATAGAGAGCGCGGGGTGATAGAAGGTGGGTAGTGGAGAGGATAGGTGGGAGGGAAGACGGACAGGTCAAGGAGGCGGGGATGAAGATAGTAAAGGTGACTGTAAGTAGGTGTGGGGGTGGGGAAAGGCCAGTGAGGTGGGAGGAGCGGATAGATGGGAGAGAAGACGGACAGGTCAAGGAGGCGGGGATGGTGGGGGGCGCGGGGCTGGTCTAAGGATAAGGTCGGGGCTGGGGAGATTTTCAAGCTAGTAAAGTCCACATCGAGACCACTGGGTTGTAGGCTTCCAAGGCGGAATATGAGGTGCTGTTCCTCCAGTTTCTGGGTGGCATCGTTGTGACACTGGAGGAGGCGCAAGATGGACATGCCGTCCAGGGAGTGGGAGGGGGAGCTGAAGTGGTTCGCGACTGGGAGATAACAAGGTGGAGAGCTGGATGAACACAGCAGGCCAAGCAGCATCATAGGAGCAGAAAGGCTGACGTTTCGGGCCTAGACCCAGGAGAGAGGGGGAGGCGGATAGAAGATGGATAGAGGAGAAGATAGGTGGAGAGGAAACAGACAGGTCAAAGAGGCGGGGATGGAGCCAGTAAAGGTGAGTGTAGGTGGGGAGGTAGGGAGGGGATAGGTCAGTCCAGGGAGGACGGACAGGTCAAGGGGGCGGATGAGGTTAGTAGGGAGGAAGTGGGGGTGCGGCTTGAGGTAGGAGGAGGGGATAGGTGGGAGGAAGAACAGGTTAGGGAGGCGGGGACGAGCTGGGCTGGTTTTGGGATGCGGCAGGGGGAGGGGAGATTTTGAAGCTTGTGAAATCCACATTGATACGATTGGGCTGCAGGGTTCCCAAGCGGAGTATGAGATGAAGAGTCTGGGCCCGAAACGTCAGCCTTCCTGCTCCTATGATGCTGCTTGGCCTGCTGTGTTAATCCAGCTCTACACCTTGTTATCTCAGATTTTCCAGCATCTGCAGTTCCTACTATCTCCGCGACTGGGAGATGTTGTCGTTTATCGCGAACCGTGCGTAGGTACTCCACAATGCGGTCTCCAAGCCTCCAGTCGGTACAACATGTAACCATATGAAGCCAAAGGCTGTTTTCACAGCCATCCGCATCTCTCGGGAAAGAGCTGAGTCCGTTTGAAATGACCACTGTCCCGTCTACGACTGTAGATATACTTTAGATATTAATTGATTTGAATAACTCAAATACACACGTCCGGGCCGTGATTTACACCCAGCCCCTCTCCCACACTCTACAATAAAACAGTGTAAGGTCCCCCTCTCATTGTCACTGAGCATCAGTTCGGGTGCAATTTCAGTTCATCTCCGTTTCCTTTCCTTTCAGGGAGAGAGTAACAGTGGCGCAGAAACGACGCTTCACAACAGAATTCCCAAGAAATGCCTGTATCTGATTCATTGGAGGAATAGACACTGACATGCATTGGAAGCAGCAGTGTTTTCTTGTTGAAGAAAGGCAGAGATATGGGCGTTTAATTATCATACAATTGCTTTTAAAATCTCCACATTTAAAGATCTTTGAACGTGAAGCTTGAGTCTGCAGGTTTTTGCCAGGCATTATGTTCACAGCCCTTGTGGAGAAAGGGTGGAGTTCCAGATGCATTTGGGGGCTGGAGTTAGCTGGAGGCGGAGCTGGACATTTCTCTGTCTGGCACTCAGTTTCCTGCCCGGGCCGCCTCTCACTCTGTGTCAGTTCTTTCTCAGTCAGGTCGTGGCGGGCTGTATAAAAAAGGAAGGTGAGGCAGCGCGAATCGCATTCGGCAGCGATTGGAGTGAAGAAGCGTGATGTCTGGAAGAGGCAAAGGAGGCAAAGGCCTGGGAAAAGGCGGAGCGAAGCGGCACCGCAAAGTGCTCCGTGATAACATCCAGGGCATCACGAAACCAGCCATCCGACGCCTGGCTCGCCGTGGTGGGGTCAAGCGCATCTCGGGCTTGATCTACGAGGAGACCCGCGGGGTGCTGAAGGTTTTCCTTGAGAATGTGATCAGGGATGCGGTCACCTACACTGAGCACGCCAAGCGCAAGACGGTCACTGCCATGGATGTGGTGTACGCTCTGAAACGCCAGGGCCGCACTCTCTATGGATTCGGCGGCTGAGCAAATCGACCCTTTTCCAGCGAACCCAAAGGCTCTTTTCAGAGCCACCCAACCCCTCCGATTGAGAGCGGAGACCTGAGCACGGGGAAGACAGCAGGTCGGGAGGATGTAGTGTACTGCAGCTGGTTATTTAACATCTTTCGATCCTTTACGAAAAAAAACACTATTTTAGTGCCCAGTGTTACAAGAGAGAGAACAGGCAGAACAGATCATTCACTTGGTTGTCGTCGGTAGTAACTGATGTTTTATTATCAAAATATTCTTTCAGTTAAAGGGTTTTCAGTCAATCGAGAATATACTGATATGCAGCTGGTTGTGTCACATTGTGACGAAGATACAGAAGCAGCAGTCGGCTCTGTCATTCGATCATGTCTGATCTGTTTCTCAATCCTGACGTGCCTTCTCCCCCGATCTTTTGATCCTCTTTCTTGTGAATACCTGTCTATCTCGGTCCTAAAACCAGTATGTGCAGTTGGCTGTCTATATCACGAATAATAATTTGTCCTGTCAGTAATTTTGGGACCCAATCGCTAATGATACATATTGCAGTATTTGTACTTCATTGAAGCTTCCAGGAATGATACTTTGTTCAGTTTTGTTTCTGGCAGCCCGTGCCGACGTTTTAGTGGCGTGTTCTTTCCATCTGCCTTGCAGACAGTTCCGGCAGCAATTATTGTGTTCGGTCTAATTAGAATCTGCGTGAAATAACAATGTAACGATAAAGTGATATTCTGTATTTTTTTTTATCGGCGTACACTATATTAGCTTTTAAGATGTTTAAATCGGCGGCTTATTTAGATTAACGGCGGTAACACGTTCGGTCGATCAGTGTGTCTGAGCTGTGTTGAACCCCGCGCTTTCTTCCTGTTACAGACAGATCAGGCAATGATCCCGCATCCTGACCGCGCTGACTGCAAGGTAGTTTTAAAAGAAAATTGTATAAAGTATAACATGTAATCTTAGTTGTAGCCAAATAGTGTTTTGCGTTTAATATTTATTTAATCTCAGGCTGAAATCGGCGGGCTTCTTGAAATTGACAAACTGTCATTTCAAGCTAACCAATTACTCTTCAACAATTATTTTACTGCCTCTTCTGTACCTTCCAGAGCTGTTTCTCAGTGGGTTGAGGGAGGGACTGTATCCAATCCCAGCTCGAGGGCGGGATCTTCATTCCCTTAAATAGGCAGCACCGCAGAAAGCTCAGCATTGATAGCAGCAACCTGTGTCTATTGAAGAGAATGGCCAGAACCAAGCAGACAGCGCGCAAATCCACCGGAGGGAAAGCTCCCCGCAAGCAGCTGGCAACCAAAGCGGCTCGCAAGAGCGCTCCGGCCACGGGCGGAGTGAAGAAACCTCATCGCTACAGGCCCGGCACGGTGGCTCTGCGGGAGATCCGCCGCTACCAGAAATCTACCGAGCTGCTGATCCGCAAACTGCCCTTCCAACGCCTGGTGCGGGAGATCGCTCAGGACTTCAAGACCGACCTGCGCTTCCAGAGCTCGGCCGTGATGGCCCTGCAGGAAGCCAGCGAGGCTTACCTGGTGGGGCTGTTTGAGGACACCAACCTGTGTGCCATCCACGCCAAGCGAGTCACCATCATGCCCAAAGATATCCAGCTGGCCCGCCGGATCCGCGGGGAGCGCGCCTAAACGGAACGTGCCCGCCCTGCACATCAACACCAAGAAACACAACGGCTCTTTTCAGAGCCACTAAACTATTCGGAAAGAGCAGTAACCGGTAGGGACCGTTGGTTACTTTTATTATCTGCCTATGATTTTCTACTGTTACACTGCGTCGTTTCTGCTGTTAAATTGAATCAATCTGAAGTGCATTTGTCACATTAATTTGAAGACAAAATTCAAGCAGCGGCAGCGAAGTTAGAAATTGATCGCAGAACATAACTGAAGGTTCCCTGTATACAGGAGATATATGATCGACAGAGCAGCAATTACAGGAACTGAATGGGCCTGGGAGATGCGCACATTTCACATTTAAAGACAAAAGTGAACAAACGTTATAAGTTGAGATTTTAGCAGTCGTCACACAATTCCCGACAAAACGCCGAAATATGCCCACTGTCTCCCTTGCTGTTTCCACAGCGATAAATGTAAATTTCAGAAGCCCGCCGAAGCGTTCAAAAAGTTTTCAGGCTTAGGGACACAATCTCTTTTCCCCTTCTCCCTCCAGGATACTTCGGTACATGCTCTTCAGAGGGTCGGTTCACACTCAAATGGCCCCTTTCTGCTGTAGAGGAATTCCATGATGTTGTTCCCTGTCAGCGTATTAATGGGGACGCCGCCTTTAGCTAATATTTACATGTCCCTCTCCCTTACTGCAAAATCGCCACATTTACTAATCTGGCGAGACAGCTGTTCTCGTTTTATCTTGGCTCATTCTGAAAGTCTTAAAAAAGCACAAAAATTCTCATTTACAGCAATCTCAGTAGAGTGCCGAGTCTTTACATTAAAAGAATAGGACACTAGTGACGGTCCAGCTGCTTTTCACTGATGTTGTGGGTGGCTCTTAAAAGAACCTTTGGGTTGTCAAATAAAAAAATGGTCTCTTCACTTTTTAGTGGCGCCCCCAGCGGCGGTTTTCGTCGGCAGCAGCACGGCCTGGATATTAGGCAGCACCCCACCCTGAGCGATGGTCACCCCTCCCAGCAGCTTGTTGAGCTCCTCGTCGTTGCGCACGGCCAGCTGGAAGTGCCTGGGGATGATGCGGGTCTTCTTGTTGTCCCGGGCCGCGTTACCAGCCAGCTCGAGGATTTCAGCCGTTAGATACTTGAGCACCGCAGCCAGATAGACCAGCGCTCCGGCACCCACACGCTCAGCATAGTTACCCTTTCTCAGGAGCCTGTGAACACGGCTCACCGGGAACTGCAGGCCAGCCCGGGACGACCGGGACTTCGCCTTCGAGCGCCCTTTCCTCTCCCAGACACGGCCACGATCTTACAAGCACTTTCACAGAAAATGCTGCAATGCGCCCACATTCCGGTCTCTTATCCCTTCGGGAGGAATGGTGGTGCGGCCATTGCTGATTGGTCATATTGTTCAGCATCTCGTAATGTAGTTACAATTCCCAATCAGATATCTGCTTCACTCACCAATCCGGAGAGGGCCCGGGCGAATGCCGGATAATACTGGCGCCAAATCATCAACCGCTTTCTTTCTGATTTGAAAAGCCCGCCAAGAAGTTTTACAAAGAAGAATGCGTTCATACTTCAGATAATTTACTTTTGGAATACACCTGTATACTTCAAACAATCTCTCTCTGATTCCCCGGCCGAGGTGAATCGTCTATTTCTGATTTTTTTTTTGCCCTGAACCTTAAGAATAAGCGGAAGGCAAAAAGGAGCCCGCCGAAAATTATTCTCTGCACAGATTCATTTTATTTCACATCAGCACCCGGATATATTGACAGAAGTATCACACAACTATTTCTTTCTCGTTGAGCGCATTACTGCTTTAAACACTATTTTACAATCGCACTCCCTATTGCACGAGATCAACAATATTCCTACTTTTGCGATGCCAGACCGGCAGCTGTTGTGCTTTCATCTCTCTTTCTCACTCCCTAAGCAACACCGTCTTCCGAAAATTTTGTAAAGTGGCCCTCAGTTATTGTGCGAGATCAGACTTCCCTGTTTCTTCGGTTCATTTTGAAAGCCTCTCACCGACAACAGCAAGTCCCACATGCTGCATTCTGAAAATAAATTCGGATAAATTCACGTAGAGATTTGGAAATTGAAACAAAACAGAAATCGCACGATACTTCTATTCGTGGGTCTCAAATAGGGCGTCATTTATTTTCGTTGCCACGAGAGAAATTTAGGGTTCATCACCCACGGGGACAAGTTTGAAAAACCCTCCAACATGTACGAAATTGGAAAAAGTTTTACAAAGAGGAATGAATAATTCAATTTTTCTTTGAATTTAATTCACTTTCACAATACAAGTGCACCCTGCTATATTTATAAAACCTCACATAAAGTTCTTCGAGGTGAGCGTGTTTAAACTTTAAACAATAGTTTAAAGTTGCCGTCCCTAATCAAACTTCAGCCAGTTTCACACTTGCTATCGCAATCCGGCAGCTAATCTGGCTTGATCTCAGTTCATTGTGAAAGCCTCTCATCGACAGCTGAAAGCCTCATTTACAGCATTCTGC